CTATTAGAAATATCTTTTGAAGTATTTATGGGCAAAATCATATGATATCTGTGATTTGCTTTAAACTGCACCAGGAAAAAAAAAATCAAAGGAAGACATATGTAAAAGAATATTGGAGGAAAATCTGTAAATCAATAAAATATCTAGAAAATGATTACGAAAAATAACCAAAATTGACAGCCTCATTAGGATTCCATTTTCGTTCTCCTCCCTAGGTTTTGTGAATTCCCTTTTCCTGGACAAGGGATATGAGATCTAACTGAAAATAGTTGAACTGCTGTTTAAATTTTACTCTGTGACACGGTTCACAAAAAAAGCTCAGCCTGTAACAAATGTATTCTAGTCAAATCAGTTTGTAGCAAATCAGTGTTACTTACCCATATCACTCAAGCCTCCTGCCTCTGCTTTTGACTGTAAGTTCTGGGAAGCACGATTGGCTCCATTTCTGCTCTCTTGATGGGGACTTTCACATAAATAGGACCTCAGGAAATTGTTTTTAATAATGAATTAATGCATACTGATGTGATATCACAATGAAAAGGACACCTTACTATTTCCTACAATGACTCGTTATTTGATATGGCATCAATATTCTTGAGGATTAAAGATGAAACATTTAAGTGCACTTGTTAATGAAATGGACAGAGTTCTTGCGAGCACATCATATCCTAATAAAATTTCATGGATGGTCCTGGGAAAAAGTGTCTCAGGAGAATATATGTGACAATATAGTTGAAACACCCAAAGGTGTACCTAGGACCAGAAAGAACTAGATTCTTTAGAGTAAGCCTAAGATTGAGCTAGATCTCAAAGTTCTCTGCTCACCTCCACAGTTCACCTATGAGACCCAGCGGAGCATAACCTTCCATCATCTGCTGGGCCAATACTTACAGGAAGCTCCCTAAGCAGTCCTGGTGATGAACTCTATAAATTCTGTACTCCCTTCAAATATAATTCATTTTTTCTTTAAGAGATCCTCTGTACTTAACTCCACAGATAGGAAGGACTGCCACCATCAAGTTTCTTCCTCTTCTCACTGTACATACTCTGACAGTATATTGTACTGATTTTCAATTCCATTAATGCTATTCCATCTCCTCAACAAAATTATAAGCCCTTTAAAAGTAAGGCTAGATTGAACAAGTAGTGATTCTATAGCATCTTACTATGCTAATGGACAGTGACTGTAATGGGGTATGTGGGGGGGACTTGATAATGAGGAAGTCTAGTAACCATAATGTTGTTCAAGTAATTGTACATTAATGATATAAAAAAAAAAGTAAGGCTGAATTCCCTTCTATTAAGAAAAGCTCATTCTCTCCTACCACCTTGGTATGCCATGTAAATCATGTAATATCCTACAAACATAGGTAGTTGACACTTGAGATTCTTAACTATGAAGATATTACCAGCATACACGGGGTTTTAAAAATACAAAGAAATTTCAGGAAAATCTATCTCAATTCTTTTATTTTGAGAAAGTAAAACTAGGGCCCAAAAAGTTTAAGTGGTTTACTGAATATCACTTTGCTCTGATGCCGAACAAGAGCTCGGCTCAGTGCTCTTTCAATTAAAGACGACATTTCCTATGAGATATTATGAATGCAGTATGAATCTCTCTTGAAAGGATTCAATGGGAGACACTTCAGGTCACATACGCAGAGAATATACACTTTACGGAAGACTTTAAAGTACCATCGGAGTGGAGGACACCTGCCCCAGGGTCACCCTCAAATCTCTTCTGGTCTTCCCTCAAACCAGAAGCTCACATTGAGGAGTCGCATGTGGAGAGTTCGAAAGTTAGATCAGTCTCAGCACTGCCAGTTTTTGCCTTTCACTATGTCAGTCTGACAGAAACAAGTGGGTTCCTCTTTTATATATATTGTTGTAAAACTTACATAACATAACATTTTATCATTTTAACCATTTTTAGGTGTACAATTCCGTGGCAAATTAAATACTTCATCCACTCATACAACCATCACCCCTCTCCATGGTAGATAAATTGAACAGCCTTATGTTAAACTTAATCTTCCTGTTTTGTTAATCTTCTTCAATCTAATCCTATCACCGATTTTCAGTGATTCTGTGATTGCCCCTCGAAACTTAGGGGGAAATCTTGGTTCATGAGATAAAGACACTCCTTAGTGGGGTGGTTGCAAGATGGAATCATTATTTTTTCTGCCATATTATTTATTTTTAAACCATGGGTATGGCCCACCCACTGTTCAATTCTTTATAATGCAGGCTTGATGCCTCACAGTAGTAGTTGTTCTGGCCTGAAGCACAGAGAGGAAGGGAGTCTGTGGTGAGTCACATAACTTGGGCAAGGTCAAAAGGAGAATAATCACAGGAACCAGAAATAAGTAATTCTTCAGCCTCACTTGTTACAGCTATTGTATAACAATTCCCTGAAGCATAGGTGAAAAGGCCTGTGAACACGTACCCTCCATTGGTTCCACTCCAAGTCCTTAACAACCTGGGTATAAGCTAATGATTCACAAGCTTAATGAAACTACTACAAGACTGTGTAAGATTGTAGTGAGGTCACTGCCCTTTACCTCAGTTACCTGCCCTTCCAGTGTGTACCTTCTTCCATTTCTCTACCTGAATCTTCTTTCCTCTTTTGTCAGTCCCTACATGGAGGCTTTGATGTCAGTTAAAATTTTCACAAGGCATAATTACTTTCATGAAGATAAATAAGAAGTTCTATTTCTCCAGGGGAAAATCCAGTGAGAGAAAAATACGGCAGTACTAATTCTGAGAAAGAAAAGTAACAAGAGGTCATTAACAGAATCCTATTTTGTTCAAACCTGTTAGGAAGCTGGAGGGCAAAAAGATGATGGCAATCACATGGCAGGAAAGTGCAATGGGGGGAAAAATGTTAATTGATAAACCTGTTCGTGCGGGTAAAGGCTAGCATGGTTGGGAGAAGGGACTACCAGAAACAGCAAGGGGAAATATTTTAGAATACTAGGAAATCTAAAACATGGTAACAACACACGGGAGAGTCATGGAGGACATCCACTATCCAGCATATTGAAGGTGAAGGTCATTGAAAGAACTGAGTGGAAATCAAGATATTTTAATTAACATTTATAAAATACTTATATTTTATATAAGTCCTTATATCAGGACAATTATACACATTTCATACATATTAACTTATGTAATCTCTGCAAATCTCTGAAAAAACATTATTAAAATTCTCATTATTATTAACCCCATTTTATATAGGATGAAACAAAGTCAACAGAGAGATGTCATAACTTGCCCAGGATCACACAGCCAATAAGTGACCAAGCAAGTATTTAATTCCAGATCACCAAGCTGAACTCTTAGCCATGATGCAGTAGAGCTTCTCTGACAAAAGAAAGAGAAGAAAAGGTTCACGGTGCTACCCGTGTACATGGCACTCCGAATAGAAATATTCTAACCAGAATGGCTTTGTGTCTCTGATTGTATTTTCTCCGTGGAACAACATCTAGGGCAGGTCAGCTGGACATTCTGCTCCTGATCTGTTGGGAAAATTAAGTCCAAGAAACTACAGAATAATTAACATTCTGCTTTCCTTGTCTTATTGAACACCTTCCACCTTGCCAAGCTTTCTACTGAGATTTGGAAAACTACATTCTGTCCCCAACTTACTTACATTTGAAAACTGAATGATTTCAAATCACCACTATCATACCAGGTTTTTCCACCACTATTTGATTTCCTTAGCTAAGAAAATAAACCTTAAGATTATATTCTCTATTCTCATATGACATTGTCATGCCATATGAGGGGCTGTTAGAATCCATCCCACCAGGCAGTACTCCTCAACAATCACTCAGCAAAATTAGACTTTCAGTTAGAAAGATCTAAAAGGTGGTTTGCTCAATTCTTATGCAATAGATGTCTCCCCATAAATTATGTCTAATTTTCTTATGAAATACTTCGTACTTTTGAAACATTTTTGAAATCTCACATATTACATAAAAGATTGGTGATTATGTATAAATCATTTGTACAGCATTTGTTTTTTCCTATGAATATGTTTCTTTACAAATATTCTATGTCCTTTCCATGTGTACTTATTTTTACTCTGACCTTAAATTTTATTTGTGTGTGTGTGTGAGAGAGAGACAGAAATACAGACAGACGTATAAGAAGATGAGAGAAAGGTGCAGAGAGAGGGAGGGAGAGAAAGCGGAGGAGGACGAGGAGGGAGGCCTGCACATCTTGCAACCCAGTTTAAAACAACAGGGAGGTCTGCCTGACTTAGCTGTTTCAGTGGGAACTAAGTCAGGGTGGCTGAGGTTTTCATGGACAGCACCCAAAAGTTCTAATCTCCAGACCTGCTCTCCCCAAAGATGGGATGGCTTTCCAGTGCATTCGGCAACCTCTCAGTCCTATTCCAATGGTTGGGAATAAGTGACCCAGAACCAGCAGAGTTGATTATCAACACAGCGAGGGGGGAGGGGGGGCCTCAAAGAGCAAGAGAGGAGGGCTGATCACGTGGGGAGGGGGGAAGGGAGATTGGCAGGGTGACTCCCCACCTTCAGCGGTCACCCTGGAGCACCGTGGTGAACACCGAAAATATTGCTCCTTTTCTGATGGAGAAGAGAACGTGTTGGCCCCTGGCGATCTGCCTTTGATCCTCCTCAAAGTGAAGTTTCTACCACTGCCTAGGAAAAGACCCTATTCAGAGGAGTGGTGTGTCCTCCCTGAGAGACTTCCTTTTGGGGGCCGTGGGAGAAACAGTAAAGCCAGAAAGAAAGGATTCTTAGTGGAAGGGAAGGAAAGGAGGCAAAGGGAAGCAAATGTGGGGGCCCTAAAAACAAAAACGGGAGTAGAGAAAGAAGCCAGGATGACAGGGAAAAGAAGGACCACGGAAAATAAAAGCCCAAGGGAGTGGGAGGAGAAAGAGAGAGAGAGAGAAGGAGAAACTGGTTTATTGCAGAGAACTTTCTCTCCTTAAGTCCTCTAGGTCAGGCAGTCAGCCATGGCACAGAGCACGGGAAGGAGGCGACGGACACCCAGCGCCTGACCTGGGGAAGCCGTTGCTCAGCCTGATGGCACGGCGAGCCCGCATCCTGACGGCCTCTGCCCTGGGGTACTTCAGCCAGGTGAGTTGTGAAAACACAGAGAAAAAGGCTTTGTTTGTTTTTTCTCAGACAAGCCAACCTTTAGAAGAACCTGGGGGCAAATCAATGAGGGGAAAAGATGTACATAGAAGCCAAGGGGAAGTAGGCAGGAGAGCAACTAGAATGTTCCCTCAGTATTCTAGGGTTACACACTGCAAGTGTGACTAATGACATCAGTGAAACGGAGACAGAAATGAGGGTAACCACAGATATAAGTAGGCTGGCTGTGCTACTCATGTATAGCTCTGTTGTAGCATCTTACCATGCATCCCTCAAAATTCCAGGTTAATTATCAAAAGTAACTACGTAATTCCCCTAGAGTTTCCCACATCAACCCCTAACACTGTTTTAGCAGGTTAAGTGCCTCCAGATCAGAAAAGAGATAAAACTCTTTTAAAATTCTCTGGGCTTTTTATTTTCCCTATTAAAAATCAGAAGCCACTGAAGGATCATTGGACTGAAGGATTCTGGACAGCTGCCCAGGGGAAGTTTACCTAGTGGTGAACTTTCGTAAGAGGGAGAGCAATGGGGAATCTGGCTGTCTCCTACAGCTCCTAGAAGGGAGTAGCCTGTATGTTTTGCTTCCTAGATACCAGCTAAATCAGTGTCTGAAAATCCACTTCTTTTTCTTGTATTTTCCTTTGGCTTTGTTTCTTCCTTGGCCTTCCCTTCTCTGGTTTTTCTCTTTGTGCAACAGACCTGAAAAGGGGCATTTTTTCGGCTGAACACTTTAAGCTTTTCTTATTTTTAGTCAAGAAAGTGAGACAAAGTATCAGCACTGGGTTGAGGAAACACATTTTGTCATCCTTAGTGGCCATTTTTAAACAATTAAAACAAAACCAGGAGTTTCTCAAACGTTATCTGCACAGGATAAATCTTTTTCACCTACAAATAATCCTTTTCACCTGATACTTTATGTGTGTCTCTCCCACCGCCCCATAAATTCTTAATAAGTACAAATCCCTGTCTCTTTCAGAGGATTTTTATGGCATTTGTTGTTGATTTCTTAAAAGTTTACCTAGAAAGATTTTTGAGGGAGAAAGTCAACAAATTATAAGGTAGAAGGAATGGAGGCTTTCTTTGTTAGGAGTAGAAGGGTCTTGATTAGCAATGTCAAGAGTTATTAGAGCAGATTTGTCCCTGGTTCTATTAATTCATACAGCACATACGTATGATGGAGCTTGATTTGAATTATTGCTACTTCAGTAGATGTGTAGTTTGGTCATATTACTTAAACCCCAATGCCTCAGCCCCTTACCCTTCAAAATAAGGTTAAATATACCTACCTAGGTGGTTATTGTGATGAAATAGTATAAAATATTAAAAATTCTGAGCATATAGTAATTATTCAATCAAAAAGTTTCTTCCCCTAGTTCTCTCTGTTCATCTCTTGTATGGTGAGCTATTGATGTACTGAGGGAACAAACAGAGCACTGGGGAAGCATTAACTTCGCAACCAGGTAAGAATTAGGACTAACAATATCCTGGGGGACAGATCGGGAAATTTCTAGGACGGACAAATCGATATAAATGCTGCCTCTCTCTCATTCACAAAGGTGGCAATGCTCCACTCCCCCCCACCCCCCCGCAGAAAACTAAAAAAGTTGGTTAGCTATTTGTTCTTGCAGGTTCTCCCACTTCAAGTATAATCACCAACAGGTGTGGGAGTGACGAAAACAAACAGCCCCAAACATAGGTGACCCTATGACCTCGTCTTCATATTTTCCCCGCTCAGTGTCTGAGGACAGCCGATAGGCTGCCGAGCAAAGAAGATGAGACAATTTCCCTGTCTGAGACTATTTCCCTTCCTACAGCTTCCTTGGGCGAGATGTGAGGAGAATTGTGTCAGTCCTGAACAGTGAGTATCTGAAAGTCCAAACTGGAAGGGAGGAGAGACAGACAAAAACATCAAGACCCAAAACAGGGTCAAGAGGTCATTAGATAACTGGGACTTCCCTTTATTTCTACTTAAATGGGCATTAACCCACTAATCTCACAGACAGATTACCCCAAAATAAAGACATGGATTCGTGTCACTCTTCTTACTTAAAATAACATTGCTGACAACTTTCTTTCCAAACCCATCTTTGCATCAAATAGCAGAATTAATCTGAACTTATACAGTCATAGAGATTTTAAAAAGCACTTCCCTACCCATGTTTCTCAGTGACTCATCGAGACAAACCGGATTCAATCTCTAGACACAGGCAGATACTTGGGTATTTCCAAGGTAGCATCACCTCTTCAGATCTGAAAGGCATTTTCTTACCTTTTAGGGCATATTGTTATTTATTGCAGACTTCTTTTAGCTGTCATTTTCAGGTAGTTATCCCTTAATTTAAGCCTGTTACAATTAGATCTCATATATACCCAAAGGACATAAAGATGAAAGGGAAGAGATTTATTCCACCAGGTACATTTTAAATAGGTAAACTATTTTTAAAAGTAGGGACAGTCTGAATAAACGACTTGAGCCGGCTGAAGGCAAACACATATTTAGCCAGGGGAAGGGTTTCCCAATAGCCAAGTCTGTTAAACCCAGCAGGAATAGCAGTGGCTGCTTACTTGTCACACTGTCTGAGGTTTAATAGAATCAGACCATAACGTTGTAGAGCTAGAAGGGGCTTTGAACAAACGGGGAACGTGAACAAATCCAGAGGAGATATCCTTTGGTGAAAAAGCAAGCTGTGAGTTCTAAAACTGCAACCAAAGAGAGGGTGTAGAAGTGGGTATCAATAGTTTTCAATAGGTTGATATATCAGAAAGTTTGATACTAAATTTGCTCATCTTCAAAGATAAATGTTTTCCTTTCCCTCCCCTTCCCACTCCTGAGCTTATCTCACACCCTTCCCCCATGCAATCCGTATCTTTTTCATCCCTATAGAGACAATTTATAATGGCCATAGTTAATTTAAAATATTGAATTAGCTTTCATCCTGATGAAGTTGGTGTCTGCATTTCCCCCCACCTTTTCATTTGGTCTCAATGGCGTGCATATCAGTTTTGATCCTGGGCGGGGAAGTTTGGGGCCCTTTTTATGGTGGAAGATTTTATGATTTTAAAGGTGGCTCTGTTTGCCACAACTTGCAAAACATAAATTACAGAATTCATTGGATGGCTTTCATGCATATAATTGAAATTTTATTTATGTTTAAATTTTATCAATCTATATTATATACAAACCTTAGCTCGGGTATCCATTTTCAAACTTTGTTCACTTGCATTCCAAGTTCCTCCTTGGTAATGGCGTTGTCATCATCACTGTTTACAGTGGTCGCTGTTACATTTTCTATAAGCACTCTTGTCATGACCATTAACTTAGTCTATCTTATAATAATTTACCCAATACCCTCTATAGTATAAAATGCTTTTTAAGGCATTCCATTTCACAATAGATTCAGCTAGTTTTATTATATTGTAACATATTTCTGATTCTGGAATTATAATAGTCATTGACCATATTTTTATTGCAAAAAGCCTTTATTCTTTCTCCATAGTTGCCTGACCACAGATTGGGTACATCTCTGGTATATATGGTAAGTTTCAGCTATAATCCCCAAAAAGAATTTTCAAAGGGACTTTATTTTTCTCAGGGGTACATTTTATTTTATTTTTTTAGTTTTTAAATGTGTAAGTATATTGACAGCAGGAAAAAAACATATGAGACAGCTAGCCTACTTCCCTAGGATCCCACAGAGTAGCTTCGTCATCTCATCCATACCCTATGTGACAATATGCCGGGATTTCCTACTTTAATACCATCTCCTCAGCCAGTATCCAGAGATTACTGTGTACCTTCTCAGGGTCCGCTCCAGAAATACTTTAAGACAACAAGATTACTTTCTAAAGTAAAAGGCAGCCCACCAAACCATATTAATTGCTCTAATGAACTGATTTAGTCTTGCTGATAAGTGTCTATGTGATGTGAAAGCATTGAAATTAAAATCTTATAATCATTCTGTAAAGTATCCAAACACAATCAAAATGCAGACATTGAAGACCGATTGTGCCAGAGCAAATAAGATCACAGAGCTGGCCCTGCGCAACGGTTCCTTGCAGGCTGCTGGGGGTGATCGGCGTCCTGCTTCTCCTGTGCGGCCTGACTTCCGTGTGCTTCCGCTGCTGTCTGAATCACCAGCAAAGTGGAGAGGAGGAGGACCGGCCACCCTATGAAGTGACAGTCATTGCTTTTGATCATGACAGCACCCTCCAGAGCACGATTACTTGTGAGTGCACTGACATGACCACATGGGAGGGGGGCCCAGGCTTAAATGAACAGTTAGGAGGGTACACTGGTGTAGAAACAACGAATAATGTTAAAGATCCTAGAATGCAGCGTAGTTTTAATTTCCAGAAGCCTGCTGGTGCAGTAAGCTACCTATGTATTCTCAAATATTGGTCTGGCTAATGAAGTATGAAGAAGGAAGTCACATTTTGGAGACAATATTGGAAATGTTTTATAGGAAGAATTATGCGATTTATAAACAGTTATTTTGATAAGACTATTTAAAGCTCTGAGTATATATATATGTATATATATATATATTTTTCAAAAATGTCTCAGATTTTATGAAAAACTACATGTTCTACTACTACATTGTTTGGTATCTTTAGAGAAATTTGTCATGTGTATCTTTAATTCTTTATTCTCTGGGTCCTGATACATTAAATATTAGCTCAATAGCCGCTTGATGATCATAAAACACTTTCTTTTATTTCCTCTCTTCTCTTCTTTGTATTATGTTCTTTCCTAGAATTGAAGAGTAAATACCAGGCAAAACAGCAGGTGGCAAAACATTGGGATTTTCACTCTGAAAGAGCATATAGCATGTTATTGTTCACTTTTCCTGCTCTTTTTCCAATGTCATTTTAGAGAAAAGATAAATGAGGCAGAAATAAATATTTCTCAAGAGGTTGCAATATCAGTGGGTTGCTACAAAGGGTTCCAAGTTTGTAAAGAGGAAAAGACAGGGTCGTGAGATATGGGAACACAATTGGGATTATTTGAAGATAGCAGAGAAGACAGGATCTTCTAGCAGAGAGTGGGGCTGATTTCCAAACAAGGTTCATAGGATTTTCATGACATTTGTGGCCAAGTGACGATGAATTTGGACACTTGTTTAAAATGATGGGAAATGAAGAGTGTTGTTAAGTCCCTGATCTCTGAGGATGTCATGTTTACTGTAGCCCTGTCCCTTCTCTCTGAACCAGCCCTGCAGTCAGTGTTTGGCTCTGCAGCTCGAAGAATCCTGGCTGTGACTCACTCCCACGGCTCTCTGGGCCAACTGCCCTCTTCTCTGGACACCCTCCCAGGATATGAAGAAGCTCTTCACATGAGTAGCTTCACAGTTGCAAAGTGTGGGCAGAAAGCATCTGATCTACCCCCGGTGCCAGAGGAAAAGCAAGTGCCTCCAACGCAGCAGGAGTCTTCTCCAGTAGAACACTCTGCAAATTGATGGGGAGCCTGGTTTCATAAATGGCAGACAGGGTGGGGATGGTCTCCAGGGTCGGTAGAGACAGACAAAGGGAACATTTTTTTTCTAACTTTCAGAAGATTTAGGATGACATCTAAACATCATTCAGTGGAAATGATGGATTCCAACTCTTTACCTCCAGACACATCTAATTTCTGATATGGAATGCTCTAATCAGGAACTCTCATTCTTATCCGATGGCCAAATTTTGCAACTAACCTCTAGCAATGTTAGTTACCACTGAAGCAGGAAAGCATTGAAGGTATCTTGAATTCCTCCAGACACTGAGTTCCCTTGCCCATACGATACTGCAGGTTGCTCTTCTCTGCCAGCTAATAGATTGTAACACACTTGACAAAGACAAGAGTGTAGGCACAGCCACAGAATTAATGCACTTAATTCGTGCCTCCCTTCTCTTGAGAGAATGCTGACTTTTATACTGAATGATAATGATAATTTTGGACATCAAGAATACCTTGGCAGGCATCCAGAATCTTGGGTGGGATTGCAGGTACGGGCTAAGAGAACACACTACATACAGTATTGAAGTGTCAAACATCAAGGTCTTTCTTTCACCCTAGTCCTACCCACTAGCTGTTGGAGAAACTGCATCCAGTGCAGTAACAGTTCTACTAATTATTCAGTTCCTCTGACCAGCAAACACACATACACAAACGTGTGCACGTGCACACATGCACATACACATGCACACTTTTCAAACTCTAAAATAGCATTGTTTTGTTTCTTTCCTCCTTCCTGCTTTGATCACTTGAAGCCAATTGTCTGTAGTGACACATGCTAGTCTCTAGTGATGGCCTTCACTGCCATCTAGTGGAACCATGGTGAAAAATGAATTTGCCTATTTGAGCCTATCTACACACCTCTTCAGTTCTGGGATCACTGACTGAACTTAACCTGGATGGGATCCTTTCTATGTCACTATCCTGCTGTGTAACGCCAAGCCACCCACATAACATGCTACCTTCAAAATGTATTGAGGAAGCGGAGCGTATTTGGGGGAAACTACTTACCAGGGATCTTGGATAAGTCCCTCAAATCTGTAAGGCATGATTTTCTCATCTGTAAGATAGGAGATAAAACACATATAAGCTCGATATAAATGACAAGATTTATAAAGTACTATGCACACGTATTTGCTGTTCTTACTGTTGACATGTAATTTTCACCTGCCTTCTTCGGTTCTCCTGAGAATTATGTTCTGATTTTTCCTCTTGCCAGCCAGCCTGTGATGTTATTGCGAAGTCACATCTGTAGTAGCTTTATTTCATCAATAAATATTTGTCAATTAAGATAAACAACTAAAGATATGTGATTCCTCTTCAATTGGTCTGTGTAGAGGTAAGGAACATTATTAGGCAATTAGCTTCAGGAATCAGGGAAACGATATAGACCCAGGGGTGGCTGGCTAGTGTAGGACCTCATTAAATACCTTCTTGGAGTGCCCACTCAATCCACAGAAAATGATCTGAGTATAACCCGCTAGTAACCTGAATGTATCCTGAGTCATGTATCAAATTGCCTCTGGAAACTGTTAAAATGCATGAATTGTTAATAGTCTCTGAGGGGGCCTTTTTTGCCCCTGCCAAATGAATCACTCTGTCATCACACATTCAGTAAAATATTCTAAGCTCTACCATCCTTCAAGATACCACAGCCTTGAAGAAGTTAAAATGTCATCTGATTAAAAAGACTGAGGAAGAAATCTTGCCTATCAGTGCCTTGTTCAAAGAGACCTGTGTGCCCCACTCTCCCCTCCCAGTGCCCTGCCCCAGCCACATGGAGTTGTCGCCCTCCCAACTGTCACAGATGATCAGGGCTCACTGGGCTCCACCTCTTTCTCTACTCCATGTAAGACCTCTATTACTCAGCTCCATCATTTTTACCACTATTCTTGATTTTTAAACCCCTTTTAACCTTCTTCACTCCTATCCTTCAAACTCTATACACGTTGGTTCAGGGAAGCAGACTGGTTTCTCCCCAAAGCTTACCCTGCTGCAGCTCTACTGACTGAGGTCGTTACAGTTGTGGCCACAGGCTCCAACACAGCCTGAACCATTTACCACTTTTTCTATATTTTCTTCAGCAATTTTCCCATTTCTTCTAGCAGTTATTCAAATTTCAGTGGCTCTCTTCAAACTCCACATCCCATCACCCACTCAGTGATTCTAGGCAGGGGACTTGTCCTAGTTCAGAGAGGAAATAAAGGCTTCAGGTGACTTCCTACCCCAAAGCCACAAACCTCTGCAGATCTGTTCCTCCCCTTTCCTCCCTCCTTCCAGTCTCACTCAAACAGATGTCCTCTCTCGTCGTGAGTAATATGCTTCTAACTGGGCTTTGCATTACATGGATTCAATGGTTTCTTTGTTCAATGGGTATCATTTAGGAAATATTCTGCCAAGAATATTTGCAGAGGCAGTTCTAGGGAGAAGAAAGTGTGCAAGACAAACAGGGTCTCTGACTCTTGGTCCTCAAAGAGCTTAAGAAAAAACAAAAATAAAATGATAGCAACCATGAGCAATTCAAAGAACCTTTGGGAATGGCAGTGTAAGGGAAGAACATTTTCAAGATGAGGAAAGGTTTGATAAATGTGAGGAACTGAAAAGAGACCAGAGTAGCTGATTGTTTTTCAGGCCATCCTCCTTCTTCCTCTTATTAATTGTTCACTTTCTAGTAGCTTCTTTCCTTCAGTAGACAGCACTCTAGTATGAACTATATATGGTAAAATAAAGTGGCAGGGGTATGGGGTTGAAGAAAAGTGTCACATTGTTAATTCAGCCTTGTACTAAGTAATTAAGACACTGAACTTGAAGACAGTGAGGAGCTAATGGACGTGTATTTAGCAGAGTTCCATAATATAATCAGCCTTTAGAAAGATATTGCAGTGAAAGTTTGAGGTCCTAGCTGAAGTATGAAGAAGGCAGGTCTTCATTCCAGCTAGAAGCTGTTAAAAAGAAATACACAGGCCCAACGTGGGGTCATGTCTATCAGACCAGGTAACCAAACTGGAGCTTAATCTCTAACCTAATTGCAGTCTCAACCTCTTCCAGAAATGGAGTCAGTCAGGAATTCCCTGCTCAGCATTGATAAGAGAATGTCACTTATGTTCTCTCTATCCCCCCAAGTAAAAGGAGGTAATCCATCTAACAAGACCCTTTTGTCCCTAAATGAAGGTGACCTTGCCTAAAATAATCCTTTCTTCTGCTTATGAGTTTCTTGCCCTGTCTTTGAAAACCTTTCCCTTTCTGTTTGGAGCATCTCTCTACTTTCTAGAGGGGATAATGCCAGATTCATGATCACTTAATAAAACCAATTAATTGTTGTATTTACTTGGATGCATTTTGTTTTTTAACAGAGCATATTGTAAAAATTCTACTTAAAGTAAGGAGAGTCTGTAAAGGAACATGGGGGTGGTGATGAAATGGACTATAATTATTACTTCTTTTGAGCAGAATTCTAAGCTGTGCTCACTTGAAAAAATAAATAACAGTGTTTAGGAAATATGGTTTTTACACCATTGTTCTCCAGGTCTCTCCTCTCATTTTAACCAGTAGAGTTTCTCTCCCACTTCTTTCTTGACACAAGTATGTGTAAACCTCCTGCAGCCTGGCAGTGAAGGTACACTATCCATCCTCTACACCTTACTTTTGTTTTCTTGGTGTGATTACACTGGCAAAAAACCCCCCACATTTTCCACCACTTTTTGTTTGCCAAAACTGAAACTCCTGCAAACAATCAGGGCTGGGTCTTGTGGGATATCAGTATCTGAAAGGAGGTGTTAGCATTGTTAAAAGAGAAACAAGTCCAAATGGAGTCATTTGCCCCCCAAACTAAGACTTAATTACAATTTCAAATTATTCAAGGAAGGTGACCTTTTAACATTCAATCAGCACCAGTGAGATAATCTGTCACCTGGGCCCACATCTTCCCCCCAAAAGAAGATGAGCTAATACTGTGTATAAAAACCCCTGCTCTTCCCCTAAGGGAGGGTGACCTTGCCTAAAACAATCCTTTCTTTTGCTAATAACTTCTTGCCCCACCTCCTGCCCATAAAAACCTTCCATTTTGTACAATTTCTTGGAGCCTTTCTGTACTTGTTTGATGGGATGCCTATTCATGAATCTTTTAATAAAGCCAATTAGATCTTCAAATCTACTCAGTTAAATTTTGTTTTTTAACAATATTATGTATGAATAAGTATTAATAACTTTTACTATCTTGTAGATTATCTTAATCTCTCTCTTGTGTTAAGTCCTGTTTCCTATATCCTACGTGTTTTCCTTTCTGGTGTATGTCTTCATTTTGGGAGTGTTTCCTAAAAACAGATACATAAGAAATAAATTTTTGGAGAGCTTCCAGGTCTAAAGAATGTCTTCTATTACCTTCATACTTAAATGATTATTTGACTTGGCCTAAAATTCTAGGAACAAAATGATTTCCCATAGGATTTTGAAGGAATAACTAGCTTTAAGTAAAGTCTGACCTGCCTCCCCCATTTTCTGAATTCTCTCTCTCTGAGACTTCTCATATTTGAATGTTGGATCTGATTTACATGCCCTGACCTCCTTTCCCATTTCTCTGTCTTACTGCTTTACTTTCTACGGAAGTGTCTTCTAGTACTTCTGTTGACTTTTTTCCTTCTCATACTTTTAATTTTTAAGATTTTTTTTCTTGGTCTAATATTCTTTGGTTGTAGCTGTTTTTCTTTCATGGATGAATAATTTCCCTTGTTTCTCTGAGGTTATTAATGATACAAGTTTTTAAATGTTTTAATCTCCCTGAGTAGTCTTTTAATTTTTCCAAGTTGTATTTCACTGTTTGCTTCCTATTAGATCCTTTTTCAAATTTAATTCCTTGATGTCTTAACGTACTTAAGAACAGGGCACTAAAACATTCATTTGAAATTCTGTGTTCATACAAAAACCCAGCTGGGCTGTCAGAATTTTGGAAACAGACCAGGAGGAAGGAGGCATGGGAGGGGGGGGTGCGGTTCAAGAATCAGTGCATAAATTCTCACATAATCTTCCCCTCTTAAGTGTGCCATCTTCTACTGACCCTGCTTTCCCCCAGCTTCCCCAGTTCACAGATCTTTTTTTATCCTATTCAAAGAATAAATCTACAGTCTGTAGAGGGTTGGAAGAGAGACAATTACATGGCTATATGGGGCAAAAGAAACAAATTGGGGGTTAAAATGTCTGGGCCTTTCTAAGTCCCATAACGAATACTAGGCTACTTTAGATTCTCCCCATTGGCAGCTAAGGATTCCTTTTCTCAGGTATACTCTATCAGGTGTTTTTCTGACTTGTCAGTTTTCTTTTGATACTCTGAAATTGATTTCTGTTTTCTTTTCTGATTTCTGATTTCTCTTCTTCTTTTTTAACTTGGTGAGTCTTTGACTTCCTTTTTCTTTTGCAGTCTGTATTTGTTCCCTAGGGCTGTAGGATTCTGACACCAATTCCCGTAGCTTTTCCCCCATACCAAGCAATTTTCTCATACCAGCATAGTGTCAGCTGAATTCAACTCAATCCTGACACAATCTTCCTGGAGATAGTGTCAGATCCTATAGATTAAGGGCTCAGTCCTGTAAGTTCTGTGTAGTATCTGCTCCTCTTTTCAGATGCCAATTGCAAGTGTAGGTTTACACCTAGGTTTCTATACTTTAGCACAGGCATCCTCCTTGGGTTTGATTAATTTGCTCCAGTGGCTCACAGAACTCAGAGAAACATTTTCCTTATGGAAGAAATACATACGGCAAGGTGTGTGGGAAAGGGTATAGAACTTCCAAACCTTCTCTAAGTGCACCACTCAGCGAGCACCTCCACTTGTTAACCAACTCACAAGCTCTCAGAACTTTGTCCTTTCAGGTGTTTATAGGGACTTTATGACATAGTCATGCTTGATCGTATCATTGGCCACAGGTGATTGGACTTGATGTCCAGCTCCTCTCATCTCTTGTTGGGTTCCCCTAGTGACCAACCCCCATCCGTAGGTTAGCTAGTAACATTCCAGAAGTCATTCATTAATGTAACAAAGGGCAACCTTATCTCTCATCACTTAGGAAATTCCAAGGGTTTTAGGAGCTTTGCCAGGAATGGAGTAGAAGACGGAATACCTATTTCTTATTTTAAATCACAGTATCACAGATGGCCAAAATGAAGTACCACAAATTGGATGGTTGAAACAACAAAATGTTTTTTCTCTCAGTTCTGGAGTCTAGAAGTCTGAAGTCAAGGCATCAGCAGGGTTGGTTCCTTCTGAGGGCTGAGAAGAGGGAATCTGTGTCACACCACTCTCCTGGCTT